TGAGAACTTTTGAAGAAAGTCCTTATTAGATCTGGGTGGGAGATAAACTGTGGCACACAGCACAGGGCAGGTAAGGTTGATCACAAACAGCTGCAGTTTGAAACTGGAGTAATTTTTGGTGGTTATCGTCCGGCATCTGAAGCTCTCCTTAAATATAGCAGCCAGGCCGCCCCCGCGACCGGCAGCTTGCAGGGTGCTGACGTAGGAACAGCCGGGGGGGAGGAGCTCTGAGATGGCGCTGTTTTCACCTGGTTTTACCCAGGTCTCTGTCAACAGAAGGAAATCGAGATCATGGTTGTAAAAATGTCTCTCAAGATAAACATCTTATTTGTAAGAGATCTAACATTTATAAGGGCCGTGTGAACTCAGCATCGGTCGGTCTGGCGAGAGAAGCAGTTGAGCGAGCAGAGATTTCCCGGCACACAGCCCCGCTGGGAGATCCGCACTGGCCGACAGCATGGGAGCAGCACTCCGGTGTCCCAAAGGACCTGTCGGAGCCACCGATATCTGTACTCCGTTGGAACTCCGTAGATCGTAGCCACTGTAATCTGTGAATGGTCTGGATGGAAGACGACAGGGATCATGGAGGGAGGCAGCCAGGAACATTTTCAGTTTAGTCAGGACTCCCTCTCGCTTTCCGCGTTTTCTGCAGCGACCGTTGTGAGGTAACCAGCAGGAAGGACGCCACAGATGCGTCGGTATAGACTCCAGGTAATGCAGAAGCCTCTTTGAGTGTCCAGCAAAGCCGCAAATTGGAGGTTTTTCCAAAGATTCAAAAATATTAAGAAGTGTCAGGCCATCATATACCAGCAGCGGTGACACACTACGCACAACAAACAGCAGATAGAGGAAAAACATTAACACTCTCAGCAGAGGAAGATGGCCAGACAAACACAGGGGCGCCATCTTGGCAATTAAATAAGTGGGTTTAAGCCGCATACCCGCGTATACCTATATCATGGACATGGACTATATCATTGTGTAGCACTTCATTGATGCTTACATCTCTCCTCTAGCTCTTTAGCTGTACTACCAGTTTCCTCCTGTAGTTCAAGGACTTGCTGTTCTTTCTCTTTTGCAGTCATATCAGACAAAATAGCATCTAACCTGTTTTCATTTCATTCAAACAGGTTTCTGAGTCGATCAGAAAGATTGCTCAACTCCTCCAATAATAAACTCATTTCTCTTATCAGTAAATTAGCTTGATGAGTAAAGTTGCTCTTAGAGACTCTCCGCTCCTTAAGTCCGCCATTGTTAATCCCCTGGCGACTTGATTTGTCCAAACAGTCACTACGCAGGGCACACCGCTGGCTGCTTCACCGCACTTCAGCCAATGGTTTGCATAGATATGCTATGTAGATCCACTGCTCTTGCCATGGACATCATGTAGAGCTGTATCCAACCAAATAAAGTGTTGCATCTTTTCACTGCAGCTGGAATAAATATTCCTGAAAAAGAGGCAAAAAAGTTTTTCACATTTCATTTAGTTGCTCAGGAAAAATTTTTTTTTTAACTAAAACACAATATTTATTCTATATATTGAAATATATATAAATTCGTTGTTTTTTTCTGAAATAGTACTGTTTGTGATCTCTAACAATGTTGGTTCAGTATTTTATTAGCAGGAGCTGGGAACCAGAAACAGGAGCAAGGAATAAAAAGTAGGACTGAGAGGTAGACCGCTATAGTCTTCACTGAAACGCTCATCCATTCCTCTGGTTTAGCACCTTTACCTCACTGACTGGCTCAGAGGTTAAAGGTCAGATTTACAGAGAGTTGAGAGCTGAGTCCAGCTGCTGAGATGGACTGTCTCTGTCTGTGCGTCCTCACAGTGTCCCTGAAGGTCTCAGCTGTAGAGAAGTCAGAGGGGGAGTCCGTTCTGCTGCTATGTGAGTTTCCTACAGATGAACTGGACCAACCCACAGTGTTCTGGAGCCGCTCCGACCTCAGTCCTTCTGTGGTCCACCGGCGTTCAGCGATCGAAGATCAATTGGAAGTGGATCAACTGCAGGATCAGAACCAGCTCTTCAGAGGCAGAACCTCCATGCAACCGGATGCTTTAAAAACTGGAGATCTGAGCCTGAATCTGACCAACCTGCAGGTTTCTGACTCTGGAACCTACACCTGCTCCATCAGAACCTCCAGAGAAGAATGGACTGTGACAGAAGGAGAACTGCTGGTTAATGGTCAGTAGCAGAAACACCTGCTGTAGATACATCTGTTCTAAAGATATCTAAGCATATTGGAAACATCAGCTTCTCTCTGTTTGTGGTGTCTCCAGAACCTCCTGTCTGGCCATGGGTTCTGCTTGGGTTTCTGATCCCTGTAGTTCTGCTGGTTGGTCCAGCTGCTGTTTGGTACTACAGATGGAAAAAGAAGCACACAGAAGGTATGTTGGTCACTGGATAGAGGATGAACCAGATTAGATCTGATGAAGGCTGCAGATCCCTCTAGATTTATTTTGTACCTTTACCCCATTCTGATCTGTTCCAACCCGGTTCTGTATTGTCGTCCGTGTTATTTCTAGTTAAATAACTCCTTGTAAAATAAATATAATAATACATTTTATTATTTTAAAGGTGCCTTTCTGGACACTTAAGGTCACCTTACAAAGTATAAAAACACAACGGGAGAAACAAAGTCAAAACACAAAATAAAACCATTTAAAATACAAAGGCTGGGAAATTATATTAAAGAGAAGAGGCTATTTTAAACAGATGAGTTCTGAGTTGTGAATTGACATGGAGAAGTCTGTGTTTTTAAGTAGAGAGAGGTGGGGGGGGCAGAGCGGCTGAATGCTCTGCTCCCCATGGTGGAGAGACGGACAGAAGGGACAGACAGGTGTAAAGCCGATGAGGATCTGAGAGCTGGGGGGGGGTGCATGCAGGAGGCCTGACAGATATGGAATATAGATATGGGGCAAGGTGGTGAAGGGCCTTGAATGTCACCATGATAATTTTATAGTGAATGCGGAACTGTACGGGGAGCAGGTTAAGCTGTCAGAGAACCGGGGTGATGTGGTGGATAGAGGGAGTTCTTGTTATGATGCGGGCTGCTGAGTTCTGGACCAGTTGTAGTTTATGGAGTGATTTCTGAGGAAGTCCAAAGAGGAGAGAGTTACAATAGTCCAGTCAGGACATGACGAGGCTCTGGACCAATATGGCAGCGGTGTGTGGAGTAAGGGAGGGACAGAGGCGGTTGATGCCTCTTAAAGGAATAGTACACCCAAAACATGATTAGCCTTCATTTTCTACTCCCCCCCATGCTGAACAACACTCTGGAGTACTTTTTTGATATCTCAAATGCATCTGGAGATCTGGGAGGCTTCTTGCTGTCTGCTGACATTCAAATAA